GGGAAAGAGGAATGCTTCACTTTAGGCTGTCTTCTTTCTTGTCCTAACATGCCTAATGCACCAGCAGGAGAGACTGACATCTCTAAGGCCAATGCAGAAGATTTCATTATTCCACTGCTCTGCATGGTGGCTCCTTTCCATGCTTTCCCTAAGGTTTTATAGCCACAATTTCACATTCATATATCTTGGGCCACTCAGCAGCAACCCCTGCATTGATTTCGTATCATCAGAAGTGCTAGATGTGGAGGAGATCTATGATGGGATTCAGCTGCTCCTCCTGCCAATGCAAGCATCAGCTCTCCTGTTTGCTTAGTGGCCTTCACTGTCCTTCTGTGATGTCTCCTAGGAGTAATACTTCCCTGTTACACTGTCTGTGATATCTCTCTCTTGGCCTCGTCCTTTCCTCTTTTATATCTCCTTAGATAATTCTCCAAATTTTGCTGTCTGCTCCTTGCAGAGCCTGGCAGAAAAGTTTTCTTTCACCTTTCCCTGAGCCAAACACCACAAACTAAACTGCCAGTCTTTCCTCTGAACTGAATTCATCCAGTCATTTTATACTTATTTTCTCTGCTTTCCCTTCAGCTCTCTGGTTTGAGATGTACTACCCTGAGTGATACAGGTGAGGAACTGCAGAGGAATAGAGAGGCATTATCATTTCCTGGCTCCCTCATCCACGTCCTTGCAAATGTAGCCTGAGTACTGTGTCTTTTTCAGGCACAGGCTGGTGAAGCAACTCACCTGGACATTGGCCTGCAGGTGATTTTGGAATTACCTGTCTCCCCTTGTCTGTAATGGGGTGACATTCACCCTCTCTGGTGAGTTGTGGTGTGTTACATGCTGGAAGTGAGTGATCCTCACGTTGGCTGAATTCATTGTGATGTGAACGGGCAGATTTTCAAGCAACTCTTAAGTGTAAGTTAACATAAAAACCCCTGTTTCAGTTAGTGCTATCAGCTGTAATAGCAAAGGGGAGGGAATGATGTCAGGTATCAGCACTATTCAGTATTTCATTGAAAAGGGGCCTCATTGTCACATTATACTAGCCTGAAGTGGATGACAAATTGGGGAAGGTGTGGGAGGCTGAGACAACACATTCTGCACAGCAGTCAGAACAAAGAAACAGGTCAAAGGAACCCACAGAAGTGCAAAATCTAAACAGGTATTTATACTGGAAAAACTTCGAGGGAGCTGCAGGTGTGCAGAAAAAGACACTAGGAGTGAACATGGCTGGGAACTCAGACAACAGTTTGTCTAGACATGATGTAAAAAAGGCCAAACAACACTAAGCTGCATTAGCAGATCTGAAAACAAGGAGGGGGCAGTGGCTCTATATATGAGTATGTTGTGACCACATCTGAAAAAGTGCTTTTAGAAACCTATTGCCAGGATGGAAAGGACTGACCTTGAAAACCAGAAGAAAATTGATTTGGGGAACTGATGGATCAGAAATTGTGAACAGGTAATGTATGTTTGAACTCTGCCATGCCTACAGTTACTGTAAGTAATTGCATGCAATTAAGAAGGGGAAGATTTAGCCTGAATAGAAGAAAAATGTGTTTATGTATTCAGAGCTGCAAAGAGAGGAACGGCTTGTTTAGCACAATCCAGCAGGGTCTAAGAAGGATGGATCTGAACAATAGGAAAATGTAATACAATGGACTGCTTCCAAGCAGTGAGATCTATTAAAAGATGAAACCATCTCTCAAGGAAAATGGTTGGTTTCTGATAAGACTGGACAGCTTTCTGCAGAAAACAAAGCTTACATTTTCCCCTTCCCCAGCATCCTAGAAGACACCTCAAAGGTCCCTCCATGTCTGGCGCACAGGGAGCAGCAGCAGCCCTGGCGAAAGGCAGCTCCACTTTAGTTTTGCTGCCTTCACCAAGGCAGAGTTTAGAGCAGCAAGAGGGCAAAAAAATCAAAGCAGGACTCTCTCTCACCTCTGAGATTGCGAATGAAGTCCTCCAGCATCATCTTCCTGTCAGGCTTGATGTTGGGGCTGTACATGTCCGTATTGAGGAGGATGATTGCAAAGGCCAAGATGAAGATGGTGTCTGGGTTGTGAAACTGCTGGACCACGTCTGGGTTACACATGCAGTACCTCTGGCTGCAGCAGGAGGGATGCACACACTTAACATGGAACATGGGAGTCCTCTGCTCCAGGGTGGCAACAGCTTCGTCACAAGAGGATCAAACAGCTTTCACTCCACCTCTCACTCAAATGAGAAGGAACTAACTGCTCTCTCAAGGCAAATTAATCCACTAACAGCTGAAGTAGGCCACTGAAACTTCAGCTTTCTTGTTCTCAGGAACCAAAAAAGCAAGTGAAACTGGAGAGGACTACTCAAGCTGGTATCACTATGTAAGCGTAATATAGGAGCTGTCTACTCCAGACCTTTGCTAAGGGCAAAGTACTCCTCTGGATGCCCCAAGGGAGCAACCCACCATCTCTGCAAGCCCCAGTACTGCTCTTCCAGTGAGTTACCAATGAACAGGGAGTCCCTTGTCCCTTGTTGGCAGACATGGCAGGACTGGCCTCACTTCAGTCCTTTGTGCCCTTCATGCCATGGAACATCTGACAAGGACATGGCTCTGCTGCAGCACTGGCACAGAGGACTCCATGCTTCAGAAGCCCCTCTGTGATCACCTTCTTTGGAAGGGAGGTCCCTGGCCATTCATTCCATGGCTGCTCCATGCTTTCTGCTTTGGGTGTGTTCTCTGCCTCCAGCTGGTTGCAGCAGTGGGGCTGCTCATTTTCTTGATTCTTACCTGAAAGCCTCAATGAGCCGCTCGACCTTCTGCGCCTCCCCCTGCACACGGATATGGGCCTGGAATTTCCGCAGGGCTTCGTCCAGCTCCATGCCTGAGAAGTCCATCTCGTCCACCACGCAGCTGTGGGAGAGGGACACAGCCTTCATCAGCACCTTCTCCCACAGAGGATGCCAGGCAGGATGCTCACTGTAGTGCCAGTGCTCAGTTCCCAAGGGAAATACCACGGGAAAGGCCCTGAGCCATCACTACAGCTGCCCAGGTCACATGTATAATGGGCAGTAATTTCAGACAAGTGATTCCCGCGTTCTACAGCAGGTGAGCAATTCTTGTGTCTAACTATATACTTATATGCGTGTGTGTGTATATACCATGATATATACATACATTATATCATACCATATACAGGGTATATATTTGTATATACAAAGTATATATATGTATGTATTGATATTTATCTGTATAGAAACAGATATCTAGACATCTATATTGACATAGATATTTAGACATCTATATCGATACCAGTACCAGCCTAGATCTAGATCCATCTATTTCTGCCTTTCCTATCATCTGGTAATCCTTCACACATTGTCCATTCCTCCCTTCCTCTCAGCACATGCACTTGTTCACTACTTGCTTATCCATCCTTCTCTTATCTCTATTCACTGGGCTTTTCCTCTCCTCATCCTGCACTTTTCCTCTCCTAAACTTCCATTCTGTTCAGTATACACCCCCATTTGCAACCCAAACCTTCATAGGACTCTACTCCCACTCAACCACTGCAACAACAACATTCATTATGTCTTTAAAGACCAGAGACAGCTCAGAGAAAATAGGAAATGGAAGATGTTGTACAGAAATAACATTTCAACATCTGCTGGCTTGTAACATCAAGGCTGGATAAAACTCTGCCCATGTAGTCAAACACCAGGAGTCCCCAGCAATTAATTCTGTATAAGCCCCTATTTATTTACACATTTCTACCCATTCCACACAATCTTTTTAATTCCCACCATACTTCAGTGCCATGCTTCCCTGTTATCTGCTAGAAATCCTTCAACTCATGCATCTGGTATCATCACCTTTCCTTTCATGGTGATGCACTGCACACTGGTAATTCATAGCCTCCTCTCTTGTTTCCCACTAAGGCATTCTCAGCTTACAGAAGACCTAGCATTAGTCTCCAAAACCTACTACTGCAGTTCTTGCTCTCTGTATTAGTCAAATAGTCTAGTTCTTATTGTTACGGCATGATATTTTGGTCATTTGTAATGACAACACCTTCCCCATGTGGCTTCCGCACATTTTGTTAGCATATTCCTACTTTTGTGTCCAGGTCATTACTGCAATCATTAATCAAAAGCCTAGACTCAGAAAACTCTGCTCATCACCTCCCTTAGGCCCAGCTTCCCATTGCAGCAGAGTATGTAGGCACTAATGTCTGCATCAGCCAATTCTCTCCCCTGTTTATGATTCCTCTGCTAATTTCTATCCCTTCCACTCTCAACTAACAATTTCTCATGTCAAATGCTTTGCTGAAGTCTAGAATTACCTTCTGCATGTCCCTTGTCTAGAAAACCAGTTATTATTGTCTTAACAAAGACATTGAATTAATCTACTCTCCACTAGCTTTGGTATGTACCATTTACCTTCCTGTTTGCCATTATTCTTTCCCATAAAGAAATTCTCAAAGCTGACATTCTGTCAGACCAAGAAATTAACAGGTGCCAAAATCCCAATTTTTTTAAGCCTTCCTTAAATGTGAAGTTACTAATTTGCTAATCTTCAATCATATGGCACCACTTTGACATTACAAGTGTGTTAAAAATTCAAGGACTTCATATTTTCTGCTTCTATATACTTTGGATGCTAATACTATTCCTCCCACCCACCCTCCCCCCACCTTTATATCGTCCTCTCTATTGTGTTTGGTTTGCTTTCTCATGTTGTAAATGATAAACTGACCCCAAATTTCAGGTTAGGAGGAATTTTTCCCTAGTATAGGTTGTCTGAGACTGTATGAGGAGTGGTACAGGGAAAATAGAGGATGAGGGGACTAGTTCTCTTCTGGATCCTTCCATTTCCTAGGATTATCTGGAAGATTTCCCAAGCAACCTTCTGCTAATCAAGGGATGTGCTGTCATCAGTTTTTCCTTCTTCCTTTCTGTGATAAACTGGGGACATGTCTGTTGGTCTTTTTTAGAGTGCTGCAGTTTGCTGCGAGCTAGGATGTTGAATGCCATGTACAGCCTTGCTAGAATGAAAATCTGATGCATGATGTCTCAGCTGTGCAAGGGACAGGGTTCAAATGCTCAGGGATGTCTCTCCAGTCCTCCATTCCCTTACTGGTCAAGAATTCAGATACCATTGCTTAACTGGAGTGACACCCACAGAATAACTTACCAAGAGCTCTGGCTGAACACAGAGTCTTCAGTATCTCCTAAGGCTGGAGTCGTTACAACTTCAACTAGGAAAAAACATGGACTCTGTCCTTCCACAAACTCCATATAATCAAAATGTGGGAAAAACTGGTGAGGAGTAAGGGCAGAGAATCAATGGGGCTGCTCTCACAGGAAATCTTACATGAAATCTTTTTTTCCTCTCCAAGGGGTGGACTGCAGAAACACTCACAAACGGTTTCTGGCAACATCAAAAACTTCCCCCCCACCTCTTTCCTTTGTTATTTTTATTTTCTCACTCTAATACTCACATGTCCCTTGGGTTGACATCAAGGCATTCTGCTTCTTGGAATTTATCTTTGATAGTGGGAAAAGTTTTTCTCTGGTTAGTCATTACTGTGTTCACAGCTGCAACCACCTCTGCAGTTGGACTTCTGTTATTATTTTTTAATACTTGCCAATGTGTGATGTTTCTCAGCGTTGACCCCAGTAATTTTGCTGTTATTGTCTGCTTCCAGACGTGCGAAAGCAGAGTCCTTGCACACACCAGTGAGACCTGCTGAGGTCCCCCTAGTAACCCCAATCCACCAGCATTAAACCATGTATCTTTCACTCCCTCCCTCACTGATCAATCCTTCCCACTCCACGCAGGCTGCTCTAACACATCCTTCCCTTTGTGTGCAGATCTCAAATAATAAAGTCAATGCCCTTGATACAGAAAGCATCAAGCCTTTGTTAGGACAAGTAGGACAAGGCAGCTGCTTATAGCTTTTTTCAAACTCAGACAGGCTACATGAGTTATGCCCAGCTTCTCCTTTGAGAGTTTCTTTCACGGACTGACAGATGCTGGTTTGCTTTGTAAATTCTAGGATGAACTCCTGGGAGTCTCTTCCATCTGAAGGAATGGAATCCAAAGAAAGATGTCCCTTATCCTGCTTCCTGAGAAAAGTTGACCAGGCAGAAAGGACAGATTAGGAAGAAAGTTTGGCTCAAGAAAAGTCAGCACGAGCTTGCATTTGATTTATCTAACAAAGCCTGTGCTGAAGGTCTCAGGAATAGCTCCTAGAGGAACCACCAAGTATGGTGCTACTTTCTGCTTCTAGACAGAAAGAATGGTGGATCACAGTTGCCTGATATTTTTTCGTGAGTAATTTTGACACAGCAAAGACCACCGAAGGAGCCAAAGAGCCTTGTGCCATGGGGCTGCCATGTTTCTGCTCCTCTTCTAGGTGACTACAAGTTTTGCTGCCTTGCCTGACCTTAGATTCCTGTACAGACTTCCGTTAACTTTCCAAATATACTATGGTGCCTATGTCAGAGCTCCCCTGAAATGCAATGCAACTTTCTGAAACCAGAGCAAGGAGGTCTTTTCTTTCCAAGCTAAAGAACTTGAAAGCTGATACAGGATATCTTGGCAAGCATACTGCAAAAACTACATTGATCCTGCCAGCCTTCCGAGCTGCAATGTAAAAGGCAATGTAACCACGTGCATAAGGGGGGGCGTTTCTCCCCAGGACTGGATTTGCCAATGTACAAGACAAAGGCTGAGCTGAGAGTGGCTGGCTCTCTGCATTCAAGCAATAACCCAGCAACTTACGTGCATGTGCCAAAACCAGTGCCAAGTTAGTTTCTGCACGAACACCTCTATTCCAGGACCACCGGGTCACGTGAAGGATAGTGAAGCAGGGGCAGAGTAATCACCGTGTAAAATCTCCTCCTGTTTCAACTCCTTCCTCCCCACAGACTTGCAACAAGACACGCAAATTGAGCTCACAGTGCATCCAGAGATGCACTTTGACCAGGACCCACAGGACGAGGGCTTTAGATGGTTGGATCATGCAGCTAAAGTGAGCTAGAAAAGTGCTGACATCCTGCCCCATAAACAAGGTGGTGGAGCTTGAGGGCTCTTTTACCACCTGCGTACATGGGGAGCCTTGGCTGTCCTGAGGCACCTGGCAGGCAGACATCTCACAACTGCAAAGAATTGCATGCCACGTGCCACGACCAAAGCGGGGTCCTAGCTGGATCATTATTCTCAACTATTACCTCAGAGTTGGCCATGATGCCTCCTAGTGTGCAGCGCATAGATCCCCCAAAGCGGGGTGGATATAGTGGCACCGGATCTGCGAGGATTTAGCACAGGGCTAAGCATGGCGAAAGAGCCTTGTGGTGAGAGGGTTCAGTGAAGGCAGGAAGCAGCTGTATTGTATGGGGCTGGGATCTGCTTGCTGAAGCGTAATGACCTATTTTCCAGCTTTTCCACTCAGGTGACAATGAAGCAGGAGCTGGGCTGCAACTAAAACTGTCTGTAATGAACCTGCAGCCCACGCTCAGGGAGGGAGCAAAGAAGCAGGCAGCCAGGTGGAAAGTTTAAAACTATAAGGCACAAAGATACTAATAAAAAACATCCCTCTTCTCAGCTTCCCTAATCCTGCAAGCATTCTGAACGATGAACCATGCTTAGGGTAGACTGCAGAGGAAGAGCTCAGCTCCCTGGGAGGAGGCTGCCCTGCACATGTTAACTGAGCCTCACAGAAAGAAAAGTGACCAGGACTCGCTGATTCCTTGCACTACAGGTGTGTGTCTCAATCCTACCCTCCTTGTGTGAGGGTAGTCTTTATAAGGGAGACTATGGCCCACTCCAGTCTTCTCTTTCTGGGGAATGCTGCACTACACATATTGCCTGTTTTCTTCTGGGGCTGAGTCATGCCTACTTGCCCTCCC